ATGCAGTAAAGCCTGGCTGTAAACACTTGAAAATGTTCCATCATCACCACCACTATCGTCACCCTAGGAAGTCAGTAGCAATTATGAACTAGATCCAAGGCGCCATGTTCATTCATTTAATGAACACACTTGTTTTTATTAGAATATCTCCCCAAAACTCCCTATCCTTTCTGTCTCCCTCCTGGGCCTTTCCCCCAAAGCCATCAATTAGGGTCGCAAACACTGAGATCAAAGGAGTGTTTATTACAGCACTTATGGGCCTACCTCCTCCATAAGTAAAATCTGTAGTGGAAAGTAGGACCATGACAGATACGGGAAAGAGAACAGTAGGAAGGCTCAGGGATTAGTACCCTCATCGAACTCAGCCCCCTCCCCCGCTCCCTTTCAGGTGTACTAACAAGGTGCCTGGGACTCCCACTGGAGAGGATGCAGTAAGACCCCTGCTACAGGATCTCAGAATTTAGGAAGGCAGCGGCGGGGTGGGGTATCGTTGCAGGTTCAGCCTATGACCCAGGTCCAAAAGTTCCAGCCTTCTCTGCCACCTCCAGGGCTAACTTCAGGTTCTGTTCAAACAGCTCACACCTACACCAGGCCCAGGAGGCACATGTAAGGACACAGTGCGAGGCTAAGGCTCTCCCCACTGTGGGTGCAGAGGCAGAGCCAGTGAAGTGCCTGCTTGAAGGACATACTTTCCAAGGAAAAGTCATTGGTTTCTTAAATAAGTAAAAGGCTACTCGCTCGTTTTATTTTTAAAAAGCCCTATTATACTTCAAAGTGACTTTGGAGAAGAGTACACAGGTTGGGGCAAGAACTTGATCTGGGGAGTGGGACTACCTACCTGATGGGCATTTCCAGGGAGTAGAATGGATTCTTGAGGGCAAAGTCTGAATAAATCTCATAAATCTTTCGGAGTAGAGAGTCTATTCCAGCTTGCCTAGGGTCTGCCAGCACCACAAACTTGATTCCTGGAGAGGGGCCAGGAATGGTTACCAAAGGGTACAGAAGGCACAAACGTCATCCTGTGTTTGTACAGCACTTCAGTTTTGCAAAGCACTTTCATCAGCCCATTTTTGTTTTATCCCTAATTGCTCCACAGAGCAGAAAGGCAAGATTTTAAATCCATAAGTGAGACCAAGAGTTGAAGTGACTTTATTGCATCACTCAGCTGACTGAGATGAGGCTTTGAGTTTTAGCTCTATCACTTACTTCTGGAATTGGGGGTCCCTCAGCAGAAAGTGCCAGGCAGGGGACAAACTCAGGCAATTTTCAATTATCTGCATTAAAAGGGAGCGAAGCAATGGAACTCATGATCCAAAGGTCACCACTTGGCATTCAAATTTCATTTAGAAACAACACTTACACCTTCCAAAATGTGTGCAACATGAGATAACATTAAGGTGAGTTTTACGTGTGCACAAGATACCAGGGCTGAGTATACTGGGTGGTGTGGACAAAATCAGCGTCAGATTAAATATTAACTAGCTTTGGATTCACAAAACAAACAGATGTGTCCATGCCACTGCCCGAGGAAAAGCCACCCCCATCCCACAGCTTCCCAAAGCTTTGGTCAATCCCTTCCCCAGCCCATCCCACTGCATCCCCTTGGCCTATCTGGAGACGCATACCTGTCAGGGTCTGGAAGCAGTGCAGCTTGAATGTGTCTGTCTCCAGCATCTCAATGCCTGAGCTGCCCTGTTCAGGAGACAGCTGGGAGCCGATTGCGAACAGCCTATTTGCAAAGGAGGCAAAGCTGGGGATGCACCCACTGCTGTCAGGGAGGAGTGCTTCCCCAGACCTCCCACTGCAGTGATCCTCCCTGCTGAGGAGTTCACATTGCAGCTGGAGGCAGGCAGAACGGGCAGCGGGAACAATTTCTTTAAAGTTCACTCGAATTCTGCAAGGATTTTACAGCAAGTCCTCAAATAACATCGTTTATTTTAACTGATGAGATGCTGTAGGAACTTTTGTTCATATCAATTGACCTGTGGCAAAACAGGTTTCATGATACAATTGACACTTAAAACAACATGGGTTTGAACTGTGCAGGTCCACTTATACACAATTTTTCCCAAAAAATATATAGTCGGCCTTCCTATCCCAGGGTTTCAAATAGAAGGATTCAACCACCTCTGGATCAAAAATAGTATTTTCAATCCATAGCAGGGAATTCCTGGATGTAGAGGGCCAATTGTCTGCATTGTTGTATGCTGTTTTATTTATTGATTTATTTTTAGAGAGAGGGAGGGATGGAGAAAGAAACATTGATTTGTTCCAGTTATTTATGCAATCACTGGTTGATTCTTGTATGTGCCCTGATGGGAATTGAACCTTCAATCTTGGCATCTGGGCGATGCTCTAACCAAGTGAGCTACCCAGCCAGGGCCTGTTCTACCCAATTTTATACAAGGGACTAGAGAATTCACAGATTTTGGTGTCTGCAGGGGCCCTGGACCAATCCCCTGCAGACACCAAGGGATGCCAGTAGTTGTTTTGGAAGTCAAAAGTTATTTGTGTCGGGCTCACACCCCTAAACCCCTGTGGTTCAAGGTCAACTGTACCTCCTTTTGCTTACTGCTGCAGAACCCACTGAGGAGGTTATGTGAGGACTTACTGTATATCCATACTTTGCTATACAACATTTTACATTAAGAACTTTGGGTGGAGTTAACACTGGGGCCCACCATGTGACTCAATGGTTGAGCGTGGACCTATGAACCAGGAGGTCAGGGTTCGATTCCAGGTCAAAGCACATGCCAGGGTTGTGGGTTCCATCCCCAGTAGGAGGCGTGCAGGAGACAGCCCATCAGTAATTCTCTCTCATCGTTGATGTTTCTACTAGTATCTCTCTCTCCCTCTCCCTTCCTCTCTGAAATCAATTAAACTTAACAATGGGAATGTTACTTACCCGAGGCTAGCATACCCACCACAGCTCATACTGTGATTGAGAACAGAAAAAGATCCTAAAAATCTTTTAGATCAACTGCCTTACTATGAACATGGCGAAATTGAGGTTCAGAGAAGCTGACTTAAGCGACAGACACCAATGCCAGTACTACCTAAAACCTGGCCGAACTGAATCAGTTGTTCTTTTCCTAACACAAGAATCAACGACTTAAAAGTAGAGAAAGGTAAGCACTGCCGCTCAGGAGACCGCCTGCCCGCGGAGCAACACCAACCCGCCAGCCTAAGAGCCCAGGGCAGGCAGGAGGCACTAGGCAGGGTTGGAGGACTTACGAATGGAACATGGAGGCCAACATGAGCTTCTCATTGGAGGTGAGGCGGGGCCGGCCGAATCGCACGGACACGGGGTAGTTGGCAGGGTTGCCGAGGTACTCCAGCACCTCTTTGCCATCGGCCGTGTACTTGCCGTTCACGTCCTTGCCATTGATGGCCAGCACTGCGTGGCCCACTGCAGAGGAGCGGCGAGGGTCAACGAAGCCCCATCCAGTGGGTTCCGCCAAGGGAACAGGGACGCGACCCCAGCCCCAGGCCACCGCCGCGGGACCCCTCCCAGCCCCAGGCCACCGCCGCGGGACCCCCTCCCGAGCCCAGCCCCAGGCCACCGCCGCGGGACCCCTCCCAGCCCCAGGCCACCGCCGCGGGACCCCCTCCCAGCCCCAGGCCACCGCCGCGGGACCCCTCCCAGCCCCAGGCCACCGCCGCGGGACCCCTCCCAGCCCCAGGCCACCGCCGCGGGACCCCTCCCAGCCCCAGGCCACGGCCGCGGGACCCCTCCCAGCCCCAGGCCACCGCCGCGGGACCCCCTCCCGAGCCCAGCCTCAGGCCACCGCCGCGGGACCCCTCCCAGCCCCAGGCCACCGCCGCGGGACCCCCTCCCGAGCCCAGCCCCAGGCCACCGCCGCGGGACCCCCTCCCGAGCCCAGCCCCAGGCCACCGCCGCGGGACCCCCTCCCGAGCCCAGCCCCAGGCCACCGCCGCGGGACCCCTTCCGAGCCCAGCCCCAGGCCACCGCCGCGGGACCCCCTCCCGAGCCCAGCCCCAGGCCACCGCCGCGGGACCCCCTCCCGAGCCCAGCCCCAGGCCACCGCCGCGGGACCCCCTCCCGAGCCCAGCCCCAGGCCACCGCCGCGGGACCCCCTCCCGAGCCCAGCCTCAGGCCACCGCCGCGGGACCCCTCCCAGCCCCAGGCCACCGCCGCGGGACCCCCTCCCGAGCCCAGCCCCAGGCCACCGCCGCCGGACCCCTTCCGAGCCCAGCCCCAGGCCACCGCCGCGGGACCCCCTCCCGAGCCCAGCCCCAGGCCACCGCCGCGGGACCCCCTCCCGAGCCCAGCCCCAGGCCACCGCCGCGGGACCCCCTCCCGAGCCCAGCCCCAGGCCACCGCCGCGGGACCCCTCCCAGCCCCAGGCCACCGCCGCGGGACCCCTCCCAGCCCCAGGCCACCGCCGCCGGACCCCTCCCAGCCCCAGGCCACCGCCGCCGGACCCCCTCCCGAGCCCAGCCTCAGGCCACCGCCTCGGGACCTTCCCACCCTCCTGAGCCCAGATCACCCCGGATGCCGTCGCGCTGGCCGAAGGCAACTAGCACTCGCTCGTCGTGTAGCTTGAGCAGCAGATCAAGCGGGTAACTGAACGTTTTCTCAGCCTCGGCTCGTGGCGCGTAGCTGTCCAGATGGTAAATCAGGCCGCCGGCTTTGTTCACCACGTACACACTGAAAATGGCCATCGCTGCGCCGCGGCGGCGAGCCGAGCAATGGGCGGCCTGGAGGGACCGCAGTCACTGGACCCGCCCGCCCTCACTTCCCCGCCCGCCGCCGGCTGCGCTTGCGCACTTAAGGCTACGCGCGGGGGCGCGACGCCGGAAATTAGTTGCCTGGATTGATAACGGCTTTTCCGGCTCCTTCCGGCTCTCAGTGCCAGGGCTGAGCAGCGGCTGCTTCCTAGCCAGCGGCACAGCTCGACGAGGCTGGCTGGGTTCATGCACGGGAATCAGAGCCCAGCGGCTCAGCCCGCTTCCGCTTCCGGCTCCACTGAGGGGCGGGGCCTCGGGCGCCCTCCGCGGGCCCCGCCCCTTGCCCCTTGCCCCGGAAGCGCTCGCCGGCGGGGACGGCTTCTGCGCCTGGTGGGGAGCGGCGCTTCCTCTCGGGCCGACATCTTGGCGAGGCAGCAGCGCATCCCTGCTCTCCGAGTCCCGCGATGGTGAGTCCGGCGCTGCGGCCCGGACGCCGGCGGCGCTGTGTCCGCGCGGTGGAGGCTCCGCGGGAGGGACCCCTGGGACTGCGGTCTGCAGCCTGGGGCGGGCGGCCCCGCTCACCACGTGCTCCGCTGGGGACCGGGCCGGGCCGGATCGGGTGCGGTAGTGGGGGTCTGGGCCGCGCTAGGAGCCGGCGGTATCCCCATTTTTTTTCAACAGCCGCCCAAGGACGACAAGAAGAAGAAAGATGCTGGAAAGTCGGCCAAGAAAGACAAGGACCCCGTGAACAAGTCGGGGGGCAAGGCCAAAAAGAAGGTAGGAGTGAGCCCTCTTATGAGTAAGGGAAACAGGCGCCCGTCCCAGACGGCTTTTAGCATTGTGGGGTGCAGTCAGACTGCTAGAGCTGAGGCGCCTGCCGCCGTCCTCGCTTTTCCTCATTTGAAGAACGGGGTGTGGTGCATGCTACTTGGAAATTCAACAAATGTGCTTAAAGACATTTGTTCTGGTGCCTCGCGTGTAACATTCTGAAGAGTCCGGTGGGACTCAACCTATACCCCAAAGTCTAATTTATGTGATGCCATTAAAGGTTACCAGGGTCTCTTTTACCTTATATCCTGGCTAATTATTTGAATCTTAACTTTGTAGAGTTTCTGCATATTGTGAATTTCCAGGCCCAGGAACCTCAGTCCTGTCACCCTCTCAGCCCTGCCAATACAGAGGCTTCTGACGGGGTTGTCTGGGAAAGCGAGGGGGATTCTATCAGGAGCACTTACCCTTCCTTCCTTTTTGTTTTTGTGAGCAGAAGTGGTCCAAAGGCAAAGTTCGGGACAAGCTCAATAACCTGGTCTTGTTTGACAAAGCCACATACGACAAGCTCTGTAAGGAGGTTCCCAACTACAAGCTCATAACCCCAGCTGTGGTCTCTGAGAGGCTGAAGATTCGGGGCTCCTTGGCCAGGGCAGCCCTTCAGGAGCTCCTTAGTAAAGGTGAGAGGGGAATATTGCACTGGAGTGGTTTTGCACATTATTTTTAAAATACATTTTTATTGATTTGAGAGAAGGAGAGAGAGAAACGTCAATGATGAGAATCACTGATGGGCTGCCTCCTGCACACCCCACACTAGGGATGGAGCCCACAACCCAGGTAGGTGCCCTGACCGGAATTAAAACGTGACCTCCTGGTTTATAGGTCGATGTTCAACCACAGCAGCTGGGTAGCGCAGTAAATTGTCATGACCATGTTAGCCACCTTAAATCTTTCAACTGGAATTTGTAAAAAAAAAAAAAAGGGGGGGGGGGCTTAGGCTAACCAGTGATGGTAATATGATTCTGACATGTCATTTTTGTGCTCTGGCCCTCGAGGCAGTTTGGTGGCACTATGTGTAGTGCCTAATATGGAAGTAGTGCTGTGAGGGTGGCCATCTTGAGCAGATGGTGGGTCCCTAATTAGGTTATCACCCAGAATGTAGGCATGTCTGTTACTAAATTCATGCTCAAATTCAGCAATTCTGTTTTAGGAAGGGGTATAACAGCACTGCTATATGAAAGTCTTGTTCTTTCTCCTTAGGACTTATTAAACTAGTCTCAAAGCACAGAGCTCAAGTGATTTACACCAGAAACACCAAAGGTGGGGACGCCCCGGCTGCTGGAGAAGATGCATGAACAACAGGTGAGCAAGAATCCAGGGGCTCACGGTACAGGAAGTACGTGTCCTCTTTATAAGGCTGTATAGACCAGGTGTGGGCAAACTTTTTGACTAGGGCCACAATGGGTTCTTAAACTGGACCGGAGGGCTGGAACAAAAGCATGGATGGAGTGTTTGTGTGAACTAATATAAATTCAAAGTAAACATTATTACATAAAAGGGTACGGTCTTTTTTTTTTTTTTTTTTTAGTTTTATTCATTGCAAACGGGCCGGATCTGGCCCACGGGCCGTAGTTTGCCTACGGCTGCTGTAGACTGATGCTTTTTAATTTTTTTTTTTTTTTTTTTTTTTTACAGATCTCATCGGCTGTACGTTTTGAAAAATAAACCTTTATTAAATCAGTAAGTGGGTATGTCTTTTTCCTAAGTGAGGCAGTCACAAAAGGTAGTAGCAGGGCTGGACTTGCTGACGTGGCTTCTAAGCCTTATGAAACCATTTTCTTTGACTGCTGTTTGTTCCTTGTTGCAGCTTCAGTTTTGAATTGGTGCCTGAAAGGAAATGAAGGGTTAACAGGGCAAAAGGATGACATTTCCAAAGGGGGTCTGGTGGTGGTGATGGGTTGGGGTCCTGACCCTGGACCCATACCTGGATTGCCAGCGTCGTCCATTGTTCCAGACCCGGCCAAAAGAGGGCAGCCAACCTGCACTGGTGCTGGAGGTGTGGTCAAAGTTGGCCCCAACTCTGTCTGGAGGGAGTTTCTTCAATTTCTGTTTTTCCTCTACAATGATAAGTACATGATTTTATTTGAGTAGGAAGATTTAAAGAGCCCCCACTGCCATTCTTGAGTTAGATTGCTCACTTTCTTTAAGAAATTCTTCATAGGAAGGTCCTATTTGTTGGTTCCCAGAGCTGTGTTCCTCATCTTGGGCCATCCAGGGCGGTGTGGCACCTGGAAAAGACCAGTTAGTTACTTTGAGAATGACCTGTGCTGCATGTACCAACAGTTCCTTTTGTTGTTGTTGAGGCATATTGTTTTCAATTTGGGGCTACTATGACCATTTGTGTATAAGCCTTTCTTTACTCTTGGAATGGCTGGATCATAACGTATGTTTAAGGAATTACTTGACTGTTTTCCAAAGTGGCTGTGCCATTTTACATTGCACCAGCAATGAGTAAGTTCTTCCAGTACATGCCCAGTCTTTCATGTAGCCATTCTGAAGAACATCTTTTTATATGCCTTTACTGAGTTTTGAGTTCTAGATATCTTCAGGATCCAAGCCCTTCAGCAGATGGTTTTCTTTTTCTTTTCATTCCGATCCTGACCCCCTAACCCTTTGGAAATCATCAGCTTGTTCTATGTGGGTCTGCTTCTGTCTTGTTTTTTTTCAGGTTCCACATATAAATGAGATTGTATGGTCTTTGTCATTTTCTGACTTACTTCACTCAGCATTATATTCTCTAGGTCCAAATGGCAAGTTTTCGGTTTTTTTTATTGCTGCTACACGTCACATCTTTCTCCCTTTACTGATGGAGAGCTAGATGGCAGTTAGTCCTTTATCTTAATCAGCTTTATTTCTCCTGGCGGACCGTTTCTGGTGCAATACCAGGCTGATGCATGGAGTGGAGGGAGCAAGTTCCCATTCCATCTCCCTGCTCCAAAAGTCCATCTGATATATTGTCCTCAGATAAAGGGTGCATCTCTATTAACTGGTCCGCAGTAGGTACTATGCCCTGGCAGGGTAGCTCAGTTGGTTAGGTTGCGGATTCCATCCCGGCTGGGGCACATAAAAGAACCAACAAATGAACGCGTAAGGAACAAATTGATGTTTCTCAAGAAAAACACAGTTATTACACTTGATCTTAGCCAGAAGGCCAAGAAGCCACTCAACTTTGCTTTTTTTAAAAATTACCTCTTACAGTTCGAGAAACTTACCTGAGTGGATGTTACCAAGTCCTGGTGTGTCCTGTAGTTGGAAGTGGAAAAAAAAAAACACCCTAGATATAGAAAGCCGAGAGATAATAGGATACTCACAGCTAGAGACAGGGCAAGCTTGGTAGGAGGTGGGTGGAACCAGTGCCACAATGCTAATTCTGTGCCCTGTTGATGCTAATTCCTAAGAGCACAGTAAACCGTTGCAAGTCCAGTCCACAAGAGACTCATGGTCTTCATAGAGAAGATGTGCCTGCTATATGCCAGGTAAACAAAACCCTTTTCTCACAACATACACGTTGTTGGGAAAGAGAATAAGCACAAGTTACATTCACAGGCTTTTACATGATACTACGTCCATTTATAAGAGATGATTTCAGGTAAGCCTTCCAGGAAGTGTGACATTTGAGCTAAAACCTGGAGGTAACTAGGTGATGAGGAAAAGAAAGGCTGTTTAAGGCAACAGCAACTGCATGTGCACAAAAGGAAGAGCACAGTACAGCTGGAGTAAAGACTAAAGACAGGCCTGGCTGGTGTGGCTCAGAGGTTGAGCATTGACCAGGTCACTGGGTTGATTCCCAGTCAGGGCACATGCTTGGGTTGTGGGCTCCATCCCCAGTATGGGGTGTGCAGGAGGCAGCTGATCCATGATTCTCTCTCATCATTGATGTTTCTATCTCTGTCCCTCTCCCTTCCTCTCTGAAATTAGAAAAAAAGACAAGACAGCAGGTGATGCGATGATTTTTTGTGTGTCGGAAACAGGAATGCTGGGGGGAGGGCTAGGAACTATTTCAGGAGACCAATGTACTGAGGTCAAATGGACATACTTGATAGGATTGGAAGATGGAGGGGAGAGGATCTGCATCTAAGCCTATTGGAAATGCAGGAGGGGGTTAATTACAGATGCCTGTGGGACACCTGGGAAGGTAATAAACTGGACCAGTGGCTTCTCCAAATGATATAAGTTGGGTGTTGGTACTCCTAAGTGGTGGTGGGGACAACAGGTGTGGATGGAGGGTGAGAAACACTACTAGAAAACAATGCGGCAAGAAAACCCTGCAGTGCAGTCTGGGTAGGAAACCTGGGAGAGAGGGGTGTCTTGGGAGCTGAGGGGCATCTGTGCTTTCCTGGCTTGCTTGTCCATTGTACCTGATGACCAATGAATGTCAGAGGTTGTCCTGTCTCCATCCAGTCAAGTTCTGGGGCAGGGGGCAGGTCCGAGTATGAGGGCCACTGTGAGGTGGAGGTTATTTGACTGAAAAAGACAAACAGGAGCCAGGCTGGCAAACGAGATCCTTGATCATGAGGACAGCAAAGATGCAATTTGTTCCCATATCCCAGCCAGAAGTTACAGAATGCTGCCCTAGCTGGTTTGGCTCGATGATAGAGCATCAACTTGTGGGCTGAAGGGTCCCCCAGGTTTGATCCCAATCAAGGGCACATGCCCAGGTTGTGGGCTTGATCCACAGAAGGGATCGTGCAGGAGGCAACCAATCACCGATTCTCTCATCATTGATGTTTCTACCTCTTTCTCCCTCTCCCTCTCCGAAATCAATAGTCCTATATAATAAAAGAGAAACATGCAAATTAGCCATCCCTTTGCTACACACAAGCCATGCCCACCAGCCAATTGGAGCGATATGCAAATTAACCCAACAACTATGGCGGCGGCCATGGAGCTGGAGGCTTGGGTTGTCCCAGGTGACCGAAGGAGGAAGCCAAGCTTCCTGCCTGCCCCGGCCTCTGCTGAAGGAGTGGCTGGTGGTCTGGGTTGCAGGGAGCGGGGCGGGCGCCAGGCAGCCGGGTTCCCACTCCATAGCCGCTTGCTCATTCACTTATTCATTCACTCATTCACTTATTTATTCACTCACTCAGCAAACACTCCCAGGTCCCTGGCACCAGGCCAGGCACTTAAGGTAAAACAGGATAAGACAGAGCTATGTCCTCAAGATGTTAGTGATTCAGTAGGGTGAAGCAGGCACATGAACAAGGCAGTTGTATGCACAGACGCACTGTACTGGGTTCAGTGAGGGCTGTAACTAACTCCAACTTTGTTCTCTTGATAAAAATGGGGCCTCAGGAGCCAGGCCACCCCAAGCCTGTAGGCCTGTGCCTAGGCCCGGAGCAGCCGAGGTCCCAGAACATGACAGAGGGTGCAGGTTGGGCTGAGGGATCTGCCCCCCATCTCCCCCCCCCCCCCCCCGCACGAATTTCATGCACTGGGCTACTAGTACGTATATATATAAAAGTTATATAGAGTCTCTAACAGGTCAAACTCTCAACAAGATTCCCCTCCAGTCTTACCTGGTTGTCCCTTTCCAGCTTCCAGGTGCCGAAGAGCCCTCTTCTGGGTCTGGCACTGCCTGAGACTGAGTTTGATTCAGGAAAAATAAATGTGTCTAGGATGCTTAAGAGTCTACCTAGGCCATGCTCCCACCCTCCAGCAGGAAACAAATTGGCATATGGAGGGTACTGCCCATCTTGCAAACTCCCCCTCCGTCTCCCAGCCCTGCCCACATCTCCACTGATAAGGCCTGCCCCCTAGTGGACAGGTAAGGGAATTCAACCAGAGCAGGTGAAGCATGGAGTCCATGAGTTTTAGAGCTGATAGGTGAAATGCTGGACCTGGGAGAACCAGGAATCAGTGGATGTGGATACTGCTCTGGCTTCTCCATGGGAAACAAACCTCTAAGATGGACCGAACCACCTCCTGCCGGCTGTGCTCCACCTCTCGAATATGAGCTGCCATCTGTGGGAGAAAGGTTGCTTAGATGGGTACAAGACCATGGGGCTGGGTCCCTTTAACTTACCTCTTTGATCACCTCGTCCTCTTTTTCCTCATAGGAATCCAAACCTTTTACCATGGATTTCTTGAATCTAAAAGGAAAAAGAGCAAGTCAGCCCAGAACCTCAGGCCCTGCCAATTGTGAAACAATCCTCAGTAGATAATGTTTTCTTTAAATTTTTAGTAATTTCAAACTCACAGAAAGAAAATAGTACAATGAACACCTGTGCACTTCTCATCCAGACTCACTGTTAACATTTTTTCATACTGGCTCCACTTCTCTTTTATACACACATTTTTTTGCCAAAGCAAAAATGGATTTTAGACATCATGAGACAACTCTACATACTTCAGCATTCATCTCCTGAGGGCATCTATGGAACCATGAAACCATTACCACATTCATGAAAATCAATTACTCTTTGATATTCAAATTATCCCATATGTGGCTATTGAGACCCTCTTCAAACCAGCTCTTGTCCTCTGGACCACTCCATGGCTCACCTGTACTTTCCCTGCTCCAGCCTGAAATCAGCTGTTCTCCAATGGGAGCTGGTTTCTTACAGGGAAAGTCGTATTTAGAAACAAAGAGCTGAGTGTTAGTCAAGTTCTTACTGCTCCACAGGTGTCAGCTCTTTCAGAGGGCAGAGCTCCGATTTCCTTAAATAAAAATTCATACTGATACCTCCC